TGACCCCTATGGCGAGACAGGAACACTGTCAGCACTAAAACCATGTCCAGAGGTTGAAGCAGGACTATCCAAATTAGTTCCAGAACTATATGAGGATGCCCGTGGAGCTCTTTGATGACATTTTTGAGAGAATAAGGCCCATCATCACAGGAGAAGGAACCAATTACAGACCCTCTTTGGAAGCAGAGTTAAAACTGTCACTGACAGTAAGACACCTAGCCACTGGTGACCAGTATCCAAGCTACAGGGGGCGCATGTCATCAATGACACCGAGTTTGCCAGGCTATCGTGGATGCAAACCGGGACGAGATATTCAAGATTCCTGCTACACCAGGTGAGTGGAAGGGTACAGCCAGACAATTCGAACTTAGATGCCAAGTGACTCATCGCCCTGGATGGAAAGCACATCAAAGTCCGTGCACCTGCACTTAGTGGAAGCGAAAGCTCCTACTCCATCATTCTCCTGGCGCTTGTGGACTACAACTACAAGTTACTGTGGGAGGATACTGGAGGTCTTGTATACCAATCAGACGCCCAAATATATAATGTATCGGATCTGAAAGACCGCTTGGTGGCTGGTACACTTGGTCTCCCCCTCCTGAACCTATTGAACAAGCTGATGTTGGCGCAAATGGTCAACCAAGGAACCTGCCATACTTCATACTGACTGAGTTTGGTTTTACGCCGCTATTAGCAATATTCCAGCAACATCACGGCGGGGGACACCAGAAATGGGCTTCACACATTGTGCCCATGTGGGGATCCGAACCCGGGTCTTCGGCGTGACGAGCCAACGCTTTAACCATTAGGCTACCCCATTGTTCAGACAATGACACAGTGTTGTATAGTACTTCACAACGCCGAGGTTGAAGATGACAATCACAGCGTCATATTAGGTGGATGGAGACAATTGATAGAACCGTACGACGACAACACTGCTCCTTACACTTACTCAGTAAAGTACAGATTCTAGTACATTTGGTAGGTTGAGTCAGATTCTGCACATACAAGTAACTATTACAGGACATAATTAACTAGTTTACCCCGTTTACATAGACAATTTTTACTCATGTGTGTATATTTACTTTGCGTTGACATGAAGAATTAGAACCTATCAGTATTTTATGTTATGGTCAACTGTTTTTGTTTCATTTTGAATTTTTCACATCTGAGGCAAGCATCATATCGGATCTTTCACTTGACTCTCGTGTCAACAATAATAATAATAATAATAATTAGTCCATTTGTATTGCGCTAAATCCACACCGACAGCATGCTCATAGCTCAGACAAGATAGAATTTAGGAGTAACTTGTAAAACATAGAAAAAAGGTATGTCTTTAGGTTTGCTTTGAAACATGTGACTGTTGGGCTTGTTCTAAGGTGAGCTGGTAGCTCATTCCAGTTCATCGCGGCCGCCACTTGAAAGGAACGAAAACCATAGGATTTCAACTTCCATTTTTGAATGTGAAATAAGTTTTTGTCACTGGAGCGAAGCTGTCTGCATGGAAGATATGGTTTGAACAGTTCTTTGAGAAAGGCCGGAGCAGTGCCTAGTATGCTCTGGTAGACAAGGGTTAAACTTTAAAGTTCACTCTAGCTCTTATGGGCAACCAGTGTAACTGTTTTAGAATAGGGGTCATGCTTGAGAATTTTGGTGCTTTGCTTACAATACGTGCCGCAATATTTTCTATGCGTTGCAGACGGTTTAAGAGCTCTTGTGGGATGTTTAAAAGCAAGCTATTACAATAGTCTATTCTGGTCCTGTCGCTAATTTTGTTCATGGGTTGACTATTGTAACTCCCTACTGTCTGGAGCAACAGCTGCTTAACAAACTACAACGAGTTCAAGATACTGCAGCAAGGATTATTACACTGACTAGGAAATCAGAGCACATCACTCCACAGCCTTCACTGGCTCCCTGTGGAACAGCGTATCACGTACAAGCTTCTTTGTCTTGTCTTCCAGTCTCTGTCCAGTTAGGCTCCTCCCTACATATCTGATCTGATTAAAGCCTACACACCTGCAAGAACTCTACGTTCCCAAACCAAAGTCCTGCTCCACGTTCCCATGGTAAAAACACCCCGCTATGCAGAGAGAACATTTGCATATTTAGCCACTAAAGCCCGGAACTCTCTGCCCCAGTACCTCAAAGACTGTGAATCATTGTTATCGTTTAAAACCCAACTTAAACCTTTCCTGTTCAGACTTGCCTTCTCTATGAAACTTCTCTCATCTCATCGCTTACATGTGCGCACAGAGCATGTACTGTGCATGGCTTCAGCGCGTTACAAGTGGACTATTATTATATACTCGATCCCTATCAATAGTGTAAATGTAACCACTGCGCTGATGTATTGTAAAACAAATTCGTGACGTTGAAAGGTTTATTGTCATGTGTTCAATAAATGAAGAAACTCGGTGCAAAATGGCGATTTCTTTTCATCAAAATTTTACACCAAAACGCAGCTGTTCACATGAACGATATTTGCACATGCTTCTCAGCAATTTGATGCATGATCCTCGTGCAATTAATCTGCATAAGGAAAGCCAGACAGGATGTATACTTGACTGTTTACCTCTTTGGCAAAACACCCGCGAAGATCCGAGTTAGAATTGATCTTCAGTAACCCATGCTTGTGGTAAGAGGCGACTAACGGGATCGGGGGATCAAGATATCCATTCCTACATAGGTAAACCATCACATCAAATCAGCCGACTCCTGAAACAACAAGCAGGCATAGACACAACCTTCTCAGCGTCCTCGAGCCTCAACAACCTCCTCCATGCCAACGGAAGAAAACAACCCACCGTCAACAACAACAACCCAAAATGTGTTATTTATAAAATAAACTGTGATTGTGGACAAACCTACATAGGTGAAACATCCCGACCCATCAACACCCGAGTCAAAGAACATCGCACCTCTGTTGCTAATTCCGACACCAAATCAGCTATCTCTGACCACATCAAAGCAAACCCCAATCATCAAATAGAGTGGTCCGACTTCACCATTCTCGCCAACAACCGAACGGACTTCACTAAACGCAAGCTCATCGAAGCCATTCACATCAAACGCCATAAGCCCACCATCAACCGTGACCAAGGATACTTCATTCCATCAGCTTATGATCCACTCCTCCACCAAGCCCAATCTATTGTATAAACATCGCACCTATTGTATAAACATCGCCTTCATTGTAACCACTCCTGTATTTATACATCTCTGGCTTCCATTCACTATCCTTTGTGTACTCACTGGCTTCATCAGCTTACTGCTTAACCAATTATGGCAATTATGTTGTTTCCTTTGTCAATTACAATATATGTTGTTTCATTGTTATATACTGTATATATATGCAGCTCCTCCACTTCATGTATCACTCTTGCTTGACAACGGTACAAGAATCTGTATTGAAACGTCGCACTCAAGAAATAAAGAAGTTGTTATACATATACATAACAACTTGTTCCATATTGGTGTAGTCACTGTATAACCCCCGTACCCAACCCCTTCACTTAACTCCAGAGTGAGTGAGGTATAGTCACAGTATACCCCCATACCCATTCCCTGTTTGCTTCACTCTAGAGTGAGTTAGTGAGGTGTAGTCACTGTATAACCCCATACCCACCCCCGTGTGCTTCACTCCAGAGTGAGTGAGTGAGTGAGTTATAGTCACTGTATCCCCTCCATACCCATCCCCGTTCGCTTGACTCCCCAGTGAGTGAGTGAGGTATAGTCACTGTATACCTCCCATACCCACCCCCGTGTGCTTCACTCCAGAGTGAGTGAGTGAGTGAGTGAGGTATAGTCACTGCATACCCCCATACTCCTTCCCTGTTTGCTTCACTACAGAGTGAGTGAGTGAGTGAGTGAGTTATAGTCACTGTATCCCCTCCATACCCACCCCTGTTCGCTTGACTCCCGAGTGAGTGAGTGAGGTATAGTCACTGTATACCCCCATACGCAACCCCTTCACTTCACTTCAGAGTGAGTGAGTGAGGTGTAGTCACTGAATAGCCCCATACCCACCCCCTTCACTTCACTCCAGAGTCAGTGAGTGAGTGACTTATAGTCACTGTATCCCCTTCATACCCACCCCCGTTCGCTTGACTCCCCAGTGAGTGAGTGAGGTATAGTCACTGTATACCCCCCATACCCACCCCCGTTTGCTTCACTCCAGAGTCAGTCAGTGAGTGAGTGAGGTATAGTCACTGCATACCCCCATTACCCTTCCCTGTTTGCTTCACTCCAGAGTGAGTGAGTGAGTGAGTGAGTGAGGTAGGTAGTCACTGCATACCCCCATTACCCTTCCCTGTTTGCTTCACTCCAGAGTGAGTGAGTGAGTGAGTGAGGTATAGTCACTGTATACCCCCATACCCTTTCCCTGTTTGCTTCACTCAGAGTAGACACTCAGACGCGTACTGGGGTCGGCGGGTTGTAGACTTCTATTGGTCTATGAGCCAGACCCCCAAAATGGTGAAAATGTAGTGCAGTTCTGGCGACCAAACGGGATGTGATTTCTCACAATCAGGAATGATTTAGCTTTGATTTACAGCCGGTTGTCATCAGCTACCGTTCGTGACTGCCGTGTAGGGGCCCTTTTAAGGTGCAACATGTCATGTCAATTATGGCAATAATTTAACCGATAACTGGATGGTTTAATTTCATAACTCTGGTTTGGATTAACCGATTTTGGAATGCTCAGATCATGATTTAAATTTGTGGATAATAATATTACATATGTGCTCATCGGAATTGTGTTTTGAAAGGTCAAAGGTCAATTTTAATAGAAAGGGCATTTGGTGAGAAAATATGAGTTGAACTTTACAATTGAAAGTTAATTGTTTCCAAAATTATGTTTTTCTAATTCAACTATAATATCATTTGAAGATCATATATACCTTTGGTTGGCCTTGTATTCATGAAAAACCATTACAAGGAAACAAATTCTCCACCACAGGGACAGACACGGACGTTTTAATATTGTCGCTGTTCCGCGCCCGTACAATGTCTCAACACAACCGCAGCGACAGCTCACAAAACTATCAAACGCCTCCTGTTTCATAAAAGCTTGCCATTGATCTCCACATGTTTATACAGTCATAGGACTTCTGTAGCAACTGCTCTGCGCCAATGACCGGGCCCATACCTACGATATCGACAAGTGATCAGATGTCTATCCCCTGCGGTTGTCGAAGGTCAGTAAATGTTTATTCTTAAACAGTCTGCAGTTCTACACATGGCACGCTTAACTCATAAACAGTTATATATAATATTCGTGAAACCTCCAACAGGCTTGGAGGAACATAATCAGCATTAGTTCTGAGCGCCCTCCTCAGTAGTTTTTCTTGTAAATACCCTTCAAAGTTTTAGTTGTGAAGTAAGAAGTGGAAAAGGAATTATACAGAAAGATTGTCTCTGAGCAAAACCTCTGATATGATTATACTTGTATGTTTTATCGCATACGTAAATACATTCCTTTTTCGAGAGTTCTCTAATACCTATGTATGTATATTTGACTCTTGAAAGCGGCATAATATTATGATGTAGTCAACTCAGTGGCTAAAACGGCTTCCGATTAGTTACAGTCTATTATCGATTGCATGTAGTGTCGCTAATACAGACTTTAGAAGAGTTCCTGGTGTTTGAAATGCAAATAATTATGTCATGTCGATTTGTCATTACTGTTATCGTTGGGGTAGCCTAGTGGTTAGACCGTTCGATTGTCACGACTAAGGCCCGGGTTCGATTCCCCACAGAGGTACAAAGCCTGAAGCCCATTTCAATTGTCCTCCGTGATATTGCTGGAATATTGCTAAAAGCGGCGTAAAACCACACTCACTCGCTGTTATCAGTACAACATGTGTTTTTGTCTGTTTCAGTATAAACATCTACGCCTCATTCTGAGATAAAACATGAAGTTTAACCAAGCAATCGTCGGATTTGTTTTTGGAATTGGATGTTGTGTAGTTTTATACACGGCAATGAGGAATGGGGTAAGTCCTGTCATACCTAGTATCACATGCAGTATACAGTATATCGAGTGCAATATACTGTATACCACATACACTATACTGTGTGCCACGCGCAGTGTGCCCCGGGCGAATTCCCGGCTGGGTCGTAATACCGATAGTCTCCCCCTCTCCCCTTAGCTAACACCGCATGGGGGATGTAACGAGGTCACAGGTCAGGCATGAACTGGTCAGCTGTTCGGCCGCTGGCCTGATAATGGGTGCATGATTTAAAGAACCACTAAACTTTGTTTTTTGTTACTCTTTTAACCATTACATATGAAAGATTTGTGGTTAGTCTTATGCGGAACACCAAATTTATTCTTTAAAAACTTGTGGTTAATTAATACCGAGCGATTAAAAGTGGCCAAAAAGTCGCCTGCTTCCCTCTCGCCCGCCAACGAAACCACAGACAGGTTACGTAACTCTGTCGCCAGAGAACTGCAGTGACGTCATATGAGGAACGATTTTCAGTTAGTTGTATAGAAAATGTGTAGCACGCTCATCATTTTGATGATTTCTCGACATCAACGACGACATGCCGAATCGTTGCTTTGTCGTCAATTGCTCCTAGGGGTCGGGCGATGGTGTCCCCATGCACAGATTTCCACAGGACCCCGCAGTTCGTGCTAAATGGGTTATGTTTGTGAGTGCGAAGCGAGCGTTGTGGAAGCCTGAAACGATATCTTACTTGTGTTCAGATCGCTTCACGGAAGTTAAAGAATCAAAACTACTTACTGTTATAGTAAAATATGCATATGATTGATGACCATAAAGATTTTCTATGACACAACTTGAAACATAACGATTTCTTCCTCGGAAGTGAGGTTGTGGTCGAAGTAACAATAATATTGTAAGTAGTATTATATTGACACCCACCTCGCTGCCACGAGAGAAATTGTTATGATATACGCTATGTCATGCAAAACCTATTGGCTATCAATAAAATACATATTTTACTACCAGTAGAAAGTAGTTTTGATTTTGTAACTCGGTGAAAACAAACCTAAATACCATTTATCCTCAGACTGGCGGATGTTCCCGACAGGGCGCCGCCATTTGTAAAAATAAAAAAATCTGTTAGAATTAATGAGATTATAGTTTGTTTTCATCAAGTTAGAAAATCAAGACTACTTTCTACTCGTTGTTAAATATGTATTGGAATCATAACCAAACGGATTTTGCATGACACAACTTATAACATAACGATTTCTTCCACGGAAGCGAGGTGGGGGTCGAAGTGACAATACTGCTCGATAAATTTCTTGCTACATTCCCATGGTTAATGTCCACTCACCAGTATGTAGATACTAGTCAATGTGCGTCTTTATATTTGGTCTTATAATCCTAATTAGTTTATTATCACACTTGTATGCATTTTGAAACTAAATACAAAGCAGACGATCTGCTGATACTTATAGTGAATTTATAACAGAACTGTAATATCTAGACATTTTATAGTTTGCCAATGTGAATCATAATTCGCACACACCCCCTAGTGCATGTTGTCTGTCTCATTACACTTCACGGCGAAAACAATGATTCTGTTGAATGCTACGACAAATGAATAAAAACAAAATGCAAATATTAAAATTAAAACAGATTAAAGTTATAGGAACAATATCAGGCCATTACCTTGTTCGAGGAATGTATCCATCAATATCCACAAAACTGTTCCAAATGATGTGTCTTTTAACAGTTTAATATACGAAAAAGTGATAAATCTTTTCAGGTATTGGTGTATAGTCTCATTGATCACCCAAGATAGCACACCTGGCAACTAATTGCATAATGTCCGCCTTTCTTTAAAAAGAGTAATTTAGTTAGCCAATAATGGGCAATCAATCAATGTATTGCCGGTTAATCCTTTGAAAGAAGGACGTTGTTTTTACGCAGACACCGACACGACAGAGTGTATTCAGTATAGATTAGTAAATCTACATACATAAACACTACCTTTTGACAATTCCGCTGTGTAAGATAAAAGTAATTAATCAATCAGCGTGTTATCGGTTAATCCTTTGATCGATGTTTGTAATGTTGAATATTTACTCCAGACACAAGAAATGCCAAATGGGAACCTTTGTCGGGTAATCTAAGTGTGTTACCGCTAATTATACCTGTTATAAATTCATTAACTTACAATCAAGTGAATGATGACAAATAACATGTGTAGGTTTATACCACCTAACACGGGTTACAACAAGGGAGTATTAATTGCTGTATTGCATGTGAAAACTTATGGGCCGACACTGTTTTGAGAATACAAACAGATTTTTACATGACATGATTAAATATCGAGGTAAAACAACACAGAAATGGGATCAATTTGGATCAGTCATTATACAAATAGGGCCTAACGACACCAATCGATTTTGACAGAATCGTCTATGAAAACAAGTTGTAACTCGGACACTAGGCAAAGCAGGAGACAAAATTAAATGACAGTAGATTGTGAGAACATATAGCTTTCATTTTCCACAACAATTGTCACGATTTCAGGTTTATTCAAGCCTGTAAACACGATAATTTACCCCCTAAAATGTAGATGAATTCTGCATCGGCCCTCAAAGCTTTTCCTCATATGACGTCACAGAGTCGCGCCGCTCTGATTGGTTGAAATTTCGTTCGCGGGTGAGAATTGTGCACTGTTGTCAAAAAGGTCGATTTAAGTCAATTAAAGGTCGAAATGAGTAGTTTTAATGACGGGGTTTCATTTATAACGATGCCAGTTAGTGATTTATGTATTTGTACCCCCTAGGGTTTATGTGACCTTTAAGCATACTCATGAAATTCTGAGACTGTGGCTTTCTGCTATGGTCTTATTAGGTCAAGAGTAGGATGGTGACAGTAACAGTCCGCTTATATGGTGCACATATCCAGGCACATTGCCTGCTCATGGCCCTACGGACATTGTCGCAGTGATTAAACGACCAAGAAATTGATCATGTTTTTTCATAATCGAGCAATTCTGGAACATGTGTTGGCATTAACAATGAACAGTTGTCACAACGTATTTAATTTGCGTAACAGCTTTTACTTAGAGTGAACTAACACTATCGATAAACATACGACCAAATTGGAAGCCTGTCAGTGAATATTTTTCACATGTTCTGCGCATGCGTACAGCGAGTTAAAAAGTAATGCCAAACCAACGAATACATAAGCATCACGAGCTTGTTCCAAGTTATAATGGAATTTATCTTAAAGATTAAAAATTTGCAACAACAACAACCACCCCCAACCCAACCCCAAACAAAAACCCAAAGAACCCCCTACCCCCAAAAAAAAAAAAAAAAAAAACAACAAACAAACAAACAGAAAAAACACGAAGAGATTTGTTCTTTATTATATTGTGCATTAGCAAACATAACAGGAAGATTTGGTTAATGACACAAACCAATTATTTTCGATGATTGAACGGTTGTTATGATCCAATGATCAATTGTGATATTTTTACCAATTCCAAACACGAATAGAGATGTCATTTTATGATAGCATACTAGATTTAATGGGCCACTGATCCAAGACTGGTTGTTGCTTTTGTTATTGTTGTGAGTACCCGGATGATATCCCATAACTCTTGACTGGTTCGTGACCTCTGCTGCGCTACCCGCATGCGCAATTGATTGATGAACCAAGAGGAAATCTTTTTTACTCGATAATATTTCCATCTTCATTAATTTGATAACAAACGAAAACATTTTGAAGTTCAACCATCTGCCAGTGGTGAAAATTGCTAGGACTGAAAAATAACGAAGTCAATGTACGTCTTTATATTTTGTCTTATAATCCTCATTAGTTTATCATATTTGTATGCAGTTTGAAGGCTAACAAAATGCACACGATCTGCTTATACGTATTGTGAATTTATAACATGACTGTTCTATCTAGACACTTTATAGATTGCCAACGTCGATTATGTATTATTTCACACACACGCCCCAAGTGCGACCTAGTGTAAGCATGTTGTCTGTCTCATTACACTTCACGGCGAAAACATGATTCTGGATAATGCTACAACAAATGAATAAAAACAAAATGTAAATATTAAAATTAAAACAGACTAAAATAACAGCAACAATATCAGGCTATCCTACCATGTTCGAGGAATGTATCCAGCAATATCCACATAAAGGAACGACATGCCATTACCTTGTTCGAGGAATGTATCCATCAATATCCACATAAAGGAACGACATGCCATTACCTTGTTCGGGGAATGTATCCAGCAATATCCACATAAAGGAACGACATGCCATTACCTTGTTCGGGGAATGTATCCAGCAATATCCACATAAAGGAACGACATGCCATTACCTTGTTCGGGGAATGTATCCGTCAATATCCACATAAAGGAACGACATGCCATTACCTTGTTCGGGGAATGTATCCATCAATATCCACATAAAGGAACGACATGCCATTACCTTGTTCGGGGAATGTATCCATCAATATCCACATAAAGGAACGACATGCCATGCACTTTCAGCTGACGAAGAATCCTGCTCCATGTCATCCGTCTTTTTACGGTCTAATATGCGAAAAAGTGATATATCGTTTCAGGTTTTTCACATTGGTGTAGAGTCTGATGGTCACCCAAGATAGCACACCTGACAACTAATTATATAATTGCATGATGTCCACTATTCTTTAACAAAGTAATTATTTAGCCAGTAATGAGCAATCAATCAATGTATTGGCGGTTAATCCTTTGAAGGGAGGACGTTGTTTTTACACAGACACTTTGCGACAGGGTGTATTCAGTATAGATTAGTAAAACTACATACATAAACACTACCTTTTGACAAATCCACTGTGCAAGATAAAAGCAATTAATCAATCAGCGCGTTATTGGTTAATCCTTATATCGATGTTTGTTTTTGTAAGTCAGCTGATAATCCCTCTTGCTGCACTTCCATGCGCATATTACATAAGATGTAATACAATTGCCACATCAGACCTTAAGACCTTAATCAATAATG